TATTGAGATTTATAAGTTCTTTATAAATTTTGAATATGAGCCCCTTATTATATGTATCATTGGTGAATATGTTCTCCCATTCAGTGGGTTGTCTTTTCATTTTGTCGATGGTTTCCTTTGCAAAATCTTTTTAGTTTGATATAATCCCATTTGTTTATATTTTTTTGTTTTCTTTTCCTGGGTGAAATATCAGAAAAAAATATTGCTACAAGAAATGTCCAAGATTTTACTGCCTATGTTTTTTTTCTAGGATTTAAAAAAAATAATTTTGAGTTTAACATTGTTTTTAATCCATTTTAGGTTTATTTTTATGTATGATGTAAGAAGGTGGTCTAGTTTCCTTTTTTGCATGTATCTGTCCAATTTTCCAAACACCATTTATTGAATAATTATCTCTACTTCACTATATATTCTTGCCTCCTTTGTCAAATATTAATTGACCATAAAGGCATGGGTTTATTTCTTGGCTCTCTATTCTGTTTATAATGTCAGTATGATGCTGTTTTGATTGTAGTATATTTTGATATCAAGTAGCAAGATTCTTCCACTTTGTTATTCTTTCTCTAGGTTGCTGTATCTTCTTTAATTTTTTTCTCAGTGTCTTATAATTTTCTGAGTATAAGTCTTTTATATCCTTGGTTAAATTGATTCCTAGCTATTTTCTTTTATTTGATACAATTGCAAATGGGATTTTTTCCTTTGTTTCCTTATAACAGTTCATTATTGGTGTATAGAAATACAACTGATTTCTGGTTATTAATTTTGTTTCTTTCTACTTTACTAAATTCATTGATCAGTACTAGTAGATTTTGTTGGGACTTTTAGATTCCTCTATGTCCAGTATCATGTCATCTGCAAATAATAAACATTTTATTTTTTCTTTCCAATTTGGATGTTTTTTTATTTCTTCTTCATGTCTGATTGCTCTTCCTGGTTCTGGGGAGCTGGGCTGGAAGCCTGGCTTGGGATTGAGACCACAAGCTTCTCAGGCAGAACCTTTGCAGCTGAGATTTCCCTTTGGCATCTCAGCCACTGCCCATGAGAGCAGGGCCAGCCCTTTCTACATCTCTGCCCTTCCTATCAGTCTCCCTGTGTGTGTGTGTGTGTGTGTGTGTGTGTGTGTGTGTGTGTGTTTGTAAATTCTTGGTTATAAGACTTCTCTTCAGCTAGCTTTCAGTTGGTTAATCAGGTTTCTTCCTCCATATTTTAATCATAATTCCAGTTTGGTTCTGAGAGGAGATGAGTGTAACATCCACCTGCTCTGCCACCATCATGGATCCTAGGGAGGTCTTTTCTTGATGGAGGCACAAGCATTGAGTCTGGAGCACATCTGCCTTTGAGGGCTGCAAATGCCCCACCTTTTCCAGGGCAGAAGAAAAGTTTGTGACAAGCCCTGTGGTGTACTGCAGCAACTTTCTGTGGACACTTATAAAGCTTTTGAAGTTTTTTGAGAGGCTGATAAGCCTTTATAAAGGTATTTTCTATAATCCTAAATAATTTAGAGACAAATTGGTTTCCTCTGAGAGATAATCTTTAAGCTCATATCAGTCCTCTTTCAATGGGATCAGAAGATATACATACTGCCCTTGGACTCCTCTTACATTCCACCTCTGTCATGCAGAGGGGCCTCCTGAGGTCAAATCAATGGATCCAAATTTTCTGGAGCATGAGTGTGTGGCATTTGGTTTGCCACAACTCTTTGGTATTCAACCATGAATTGGGGAAACGGAACAGTTTGGGGCATGTGAGGCAGAAGTATGATGAAAACCTGCCTGGAGAGTGTGTGTGTGGATTTGGGGAGGGGTTACTCATATTTTCTGTAACCATTTTGAAATGATATGTTTTATGGAACCTTTATATTATTGGTGGCTAGGTTCCTTGTAATGCAGAAATCAGAAGGAAAATCCCATAGAGAGGAGAAGAAAATTTCCAGGCCAGAAACTCGTGGTCCTCTTAGTATAAGCATTACTCTTTGGTTTTTTAGTCTAGAAGCCCCATAGCAATCATAGATGTTGCCACTGGAGAAAAAGGAGCACTGGGAGTAAGTGGGAGCTTGTGGGCCTCAGTTGGATATTCTTGATTTTCACATCAATCCATCAGTGGTCTATATTTGGGATATATTTATTACATTTCCATTTCTCTCTCAAAATCAATAAATGGCTTGTTTTATTTTACAGTGATACAAGCAGTATGATTAGGTTTTTCTTTGTTACAGAGTTGAATTATTTTCCACATTTATCCCAGAAAGAATCTTTGAGCATGCAAACCTCATAAAAGCTGTGCTATCACCCAAAGAAGTGGTATTCAAAGAAGTGATGTGGCCCAGCTAGCATGGTTCAGAGGTTGAACATCAATCTATGAACAAGGAGGTCACAGTTCAATTCCAAGTCAGGGCATATGGCCAGGTTCTATCTCTAGTACGGAGCATGCAGTAGGAAGCCGATTAATGATTCTCTCTCATCATTGATGTTTCTATATCTCTTGCTCCCTCTCCCTTCCTCTTTGAAATCAATAAAAAAATATCTATCTATCTATCTCTATCTCTATCTCTATCTCTATCTCTATCTCTATCTCTATCTCTATCTCTATCTCTATTTCTATCTCTATCATCTCTATCTCTATCTCTATCTCTATCTATCTATTTTTAAAAGAAGTGTGTTTAAATGAGCATCCACTAACTCTTATTAATCACTCACATCTCTCCTTGATAAAAGCGTCTTTGGAAATCCTCTTTTCTACAGCTTATCCATTCTGCCCACCAGATTGGACCTTGTTATCTCTGGTTATATTTGGAATCTTCTCTTTTTTGTTCTACAGTTTCAATCAAATCAGTAGCTGATTTTCATTGATTTATCCTACATGGACCTCTTAATTTTTAATGTGAGCATTTATGTTTTCCATAAATTCTAGAAAATTCTCTTCAAATATTGCTCCAAATAACCTCCCCCCCTTTCATGTATCTTAACCTTTTTGTTATACTTTCTATCTTAAAAAAATCTCTCTCTGTGATATTCTGGGAAATTTTCTACAAAATTTCCTCCCAGTACTAATTTTCTGTTCAACTTTGTATAATTGCTGTTTAACCCTTCCATTGAGATTTTTATATCAACAATTGTATTTTGTTTGCTTCATTAAATTCTAATAAGTGCTTTTCCAAATATGTCTGCTATTTTATGATTTAAAAAACACACTATATCTTTAGTTGCACTTCTGATTCTTGCTTATATAGATTGTCACATAATTTATAACCTTGCCCTGCCTAAGAAATCTCCAGAATAATTAGCTTATGCTTTTCACTCTGGTTTTGATTTCCCTTTTGGCATATGGATTTCTTAACTTTCATTTTAAAAGGACATTTGTTATATCTTTATCCAGCACATGTAGGAGTTTATAGTGGAAGTTTTGTTCTGCCATATTGCTGGAAGTAGGTATTCTCTAAGTCCCCTTTTATAAACTATCAGGGTATCTGTCATATTGTCATGAGTCATCTATATATATAAAAGACTAAGCGACCATTACAACAGAACAATCAGAATGATCAGAAAGACTGGTCGACGAGTTGCTATGATGTGCACTGACCACGAGGGGGTAGACGCTTAATGCAAGAGCTGGCCCCTGGTGGTCAGTGCACTCTCACAGGGGGAGCACCACTCAGCCAGAAGCTGGGCTCATGAGGGCTGGCGGGTGCAGCTGCGGGGGTGGGAGCCTGTCCGGACTCTGCAGCAATGGTGGTGGCAGGTGCAGCAGGCCTGGATGAGCTCCAGCAGCATGGCACTGCTACATCACTTGAGGGGTCTCAGATTGCAAAATGCTACAGGCCAGGCTGAGGAAACCCTCCCTCCCCCCCCACCACGTATGAATCTGTACACTGGGCCTCTAGTTAAACAATAATTATCTGTTTAATATCTGTCTTCCTTTCAAGAATGTACTTCCATCAGGACTGACACTATGTCTTGTTCAATATTGTCGCTCTAGCTCCTAGTTAACTGCCTAGAACATTGTAGAGCTCAATGAAATGGAGGCAGGTGGCCCTGGATGTTGGTTGTGTCAAATAGATTAGGAATTCCTCTCTACCCTTTTGCAAATTTTTAAACACTCCTTAACTTTTTTTTGAACACTAGCCTTCCCTAAAGTGAATTAATTCCTCTGTGGTTGATAAAATGTCTCACAAGTGACTTCATATTATACTCTTTTCAGTTACCTTCTGTATAGATTATCCCATTTGAATTCATGATTACCTTGGACCTAGCTAGGGCAGGGATAATTATCCTGTTTTTACAGATGAGGAAATTGAAGATAGGGGGGGAGATGATGTGTCTTATCTTCTGTAAGACAATCACTAGTAATCCCAGAATTAAATCTAGGTGTTCTGATTTCAATTCTATATGAGTCTATCGTAGTGAACATCAGAGCTTCTTTATGTGAAAGTGAAGTCCACTTTGCTTCTTTACTGAACTTCCTTTTTTGTTTTTAACTAAATAAATCAGTATCTAGGAAAAAATGGATGCTATTATTAATTTGGTATTATTTTGATTTGCACAGGACTCAGACTATTTGATTTTTCATTTGGACAGTGTGTTTATGTTTCTCTTGAGACAAACATTACAGACCACCTCTGTCAAAGAACCCAGGTTTCTGGCAAACTCTGTTTGTGGCCTAGTTGAATACAGGGATGTCTGGCAAAGGATGGTGTGTTACAGACCACATGACAGAAACACAAGATTTATCAATGTTTAACACACTTGGAGGGGTAAGGCAAGGCATGGGCAAGAACACAGAGGCAACGACAGTCATAGCAAGCTGAGCTCCCCCGGGTCAATTTCCAACCTCAGGGCTGAAGATCTTGGGTGCCTGGAGTCTTCCAGGCCCACTGGTGTCCAAGAAGAGCTCTTTCAAAAGCTTGCATGGTGCCATTGGAGCCGCGTGGCAAACAGAGCAACTTCATTCCTGAGATAGGAAGGGGAGAGGGCATACCAAGGAAGCAAATCTTGGCTACTTACCTCAGAGCAGACCCCTTGGGTGTCGCAATGCCATAGCCTTTGGAATCCAAGTTACCTCCCACCTTCATGGTGTCACAGGGTTTCCGCTGCTCAATGTATTCATTCATGGTGGACTCCAGAAGGTAGGCATATTTGCCTTTGGATTTCCTCACTCGGATCATCCCCTCCTCTGTGGTCCGCACAAACACTGATGGTTCTGCTGACTTCATATATGTCCACATCTTCTCAAACACGGCAATTTTAGACCTCTGGCAGAAGACAGGAACAAAACTGGAATTAAGGGCTGGCTGTGCTTGGAATTGAGGTTGGCATACACACTAATGAAGAGCTGAGTGTAACTTGATCACACATTCATGAGTGAAATTAGCTCAGGAAGAAACAAATTATGAGTGATTGCAAAATAAGAGTCTCTAATTAGTACCAGTAGTTTTCAAAGTACAAATATCTTGCAAATACAGAACACACAGAATAGTTTAGAATCTTTTAATTACTGCTGAGTAATTATATTCCTGTTAAATATAGGAAGAGTTAAGAAACTGGGGCTCTGTCTGTCCTTTAAAGACATTAAAAAACCTATCTATTGTTCAGTAAGGCCACATTTATATAGCTTAGAAGAAGTGGAGAGCTGAATATCGGTGGGGTCTGATTTCATCATTGGATGACAACACTGAAGAATTTCAGGATCATGGGTGCTTATTGCCAGTTTTCCTGTAATGTAAAACCTGCCCTCAGAATGTAAATTGTTATCTGATAAAGCTAATAACTTGGGACCTAATATTGTCTCCTGTTTATATTTTAAAAGCCTTTAAACCTAGCCAAATTGCTTTCCTATTGCCTCCTGAGCTCACTTGGGACTTTGCCTAAGCTGTTTACTCCACTCGATGTGCTGGTTCTCACCATTTCACACACCAGAACAAATCCTATGTACTCTGAGACCGCCTCAGTTCCATGGACAGTAGTTATCAGAGTCTACTGAGCACTGAAATTATGTGCAGAGATTGTAAATATGCACTCCTCCTGCTCTAAAACGAGAGATACTGATTCAATAGGTCTGGGGTGGAGCCTAGAATAAATCTCTTTCAGCAATGCCCTAGGTAAAGCTGTTCCCATATGACTTGTGTGACCCTTACCTTGAGAAAGTAAGGACACAATGTCTAGTATTCACTGATTGACCAAGATAGACTGCTAGGATAGCAAGTCATTCCTAGTTGTGCACAGGTCTCAACTCAGTGGACACAATCAGAAAGGAGGGGCATTTTCTCTTTTGTGGATCTTTCACAGAGTCTAACCTTGTATACAGTAAGGCCCTTAGTCAGGATCCATGATCCAGGACCACAAATTAATACTCTCATCTAAAATGGTCTATAAAGAGCATCATTTCCCCCAAAGGATAGATGTATTTTATGGATACTGGGGTCTGGCTTTTGAAAATGCTTTGCAAATGAACAAATTTTAAACATATATAAGGGACTATATTTATTAAAGAAAGTTATTACTATAAGCACGCACCCTATATAATCTGGTGGTTAATATACAGATTAAAGATTTGTTAAGTATACAATTATCATTAAACATCTAGGAGGTTTTTTTTCTTTGCACATAAATATCAGGACTACTTTCTTGATCCCAACATCAAGTGTTGGCCAAATATTGATGTGTAATTAAATTGCTGTTTGAACTAATTGATCTATAGAGATATTGGGGCTCAGGAAAATTCTAGGTCTCCATGGGAAATTAATGGAAATAGTTATGAGAATTTCAGAGAGGCATTTGATAGAGTGAGCCTTAAGTTTTCACAGTCTATCTATAGTAATAAAAACATAATATGCTAATTAGACCGTACATCCTTCTGGATGTCCTTCTGGATGACCTGTTGAAACTGCCACAACAGGGACCAAGCCCCTTGCATGAATTTTGTGCACTGGGCCTTTAGTAATGAGATAAACTAGATTATTTGTTTTAAAGTGTGGCTTACAGTCTGGAAAGGACACTGGATTTGAGAGTGAGGAGCCCTGAGTTCTAGTCCTAGTCACACTGTTAACCTTCCTTATCTCTTCTGGAGGTCTTTGGGCAGGTAATCTTTAAGTCCTTTGCTAGCTGGAAAGATCTGATTCTTTATATGAAAATATATCACTCAAGCAACATTATCAATGTGAGAAAGAGAAAAAAAGAAAAGAAAGGGAGTATTTCAAAGTTAGGGGAAGGAATACCCAGAATCAATCCTAACATCTACAATACATTGAATAGTCTCTCAGAGGAAGAAGGGAATATGTATAATTTCAGCTGTGACCAGATTTTCAAATGATCTTCCAGGCACAAAACCAACAAAACACGCAGCAGGGCAATTGCAAGATGCAATTTGACCTGACAGGATGGCCACAGCAGGGAAAGGGGCTGCTGACAGGGAGAGCTGAAGAGCCCTCTGGGCAACGATATGCAGAAAATTAATATGTTCTCTCAGCCTCACCCTAGTGCTCCATGCACCAAGGCTGTGCTCACAGCTGTTTAGAGCAAACTATCAGGAAAATCTCATCTCCAGGAATTTGAAGGCAGCATGAGTGGCAGGGAAGATTGGAAGCATACTTGGGGTATTTGTTCTTGGATCTCTGCTATCATCTGCCACTACCATAGCCCTTCACACATCTTAATTAAATTGTCGATGGAGGATTAAGTGTCTCTGGGTTGGGGTTGCCAAGAAGCTCTAGGCTGCCATGGTGACTAGAAGCCAGGTTTTTCACAGCCTGTGGTAGAAGAATTCTTATCTCACTATTCTCTCCTTCCTTGTGGGATGTTAGGCAATTATGTTTCCCTAACCACCAAATTTTGTCTCCCTACTTATCCTGGTAGGGTAATTTTTCAAGGTCAGAGTCACAGATGGAAGGGCTCAGGGAACACATTTTGTTAGCATTCCTTTTTCACAGGTAGAGAAACTGAACTCCATAGTGTGGCAGAGAAATGTCCAATGTCACAAGGTTTGTTAATGGCAGAGCCAGAAGTAAAACCCTGGTATCCTCATTGCCCACCTACCATGTTTCCCCGAAAATAAGACATCCTCCGAAAATAAGACCTAGCTCATGGAAAGATAAGACATCCCCTGAAAATAAGACTTAGCGCAACTTTGGGAGAAAAAATTAATATAAGACACCGTCTTATTTTCGGGGAAACGGTAGTTTCCACTGCAGCCAGCTTCTTCCCTCATTTTAGGCTCCCACTGTCTGTGGGAGCTTTCTGAGATGCACAGTTCTCTCCTGACAATGGTGATCATAGTACTCAGGGCATAATGTTGTCATGGAGATCATATAAGACCAGAGGTAAAATCCATAATCCAGTTCCTGGCACATGTAGGTGTTGTATAAGTGGTGCAATTACTATCTGTAATTATGTCCTTTCTTTATATTTTACTTTACAGTAAATACATGGTTGGCTAGGTACCAATTTTCCTCCCTATATACATGGCAGATGTTGATATCAATTAAGAAATTATTTTACACTAACCTTAGGTGTAACCTCAGAATTTGTCTCAACACAGAACTCTAGGCAACCACTAACTTTCATTCAGTGGATGAACTACAACCTATTTGCTACCAAAACAGCAGGCCTGGTTAGGGCACAGTGCTTGTAGAATATGAACTGCCTTGGTTCTAGATTCCTAACTTTTACTGTGAACAAGAAATAGTAATATGTCAATAGATAAAGTTATTAACAAAGAACTTGGAAGTCTGAAGTGCCAGCTGTACCTCTAAGTAGCTAGGGTATGCTAATTTTATTTCATAGGCTTTAGTTTCCTAAACTATAAAAGGGGAGATTTAGACTAGACTTTTCCATGGGTCTATGTGGTAACCTGAGTGATTTTTATAAATACATTTGTCGGTTAAAGATACCACTCCATTAGGACAGTGTCGTTCAGTATCAAGAATTCTTGGGTTGGAATGAGCAAACTCATAGTTTGTACTCATCCTTGATATTTGCAACATTAATTGCTTGAATCTCAATTTCTTATCCACAAAGTAGAACCCACTATTCCTGTTCTGCCTTAGGACACAGGTGAAACATAAATCAGACCATGGATGTGAAAGTGCTTTGAAAACTGTGATATGCTAATATATTGGGGATGCAGACATGGATCTATAATTGGTAAGTGAATTAGGTGGTTCCCCAACTGTCTCAGCAGGGTCTGGGATGTAGGATTGGCTTTATGAAGATATATCAGGTATCTCCTTCATGCTTTGGCTGTAGGCTAAAACTGTCAGATAATGGCTATGAGATTATAAGTGTTTTTTTTCTAACTGGTTGGGTAAACCTATACAAAACATGTCTCACTCTAAAATGAAAGACTCAAATCAAGTGACTTCTCAATTACCTTCTTGCTCCAATATTTTGAAAATGGATGATTTTAGCCTTGGAGTCTGGATTAGCCATGGTTAAGACTTTGGTCTCTTTCCTACCTGACATATTACACAAAATATCTGAAGAGGAAACTGAGCACATCATCCAGTTGGTTCATGCAGGGCCTGGGGTTTGCTCCAAGAAGTTGCAGCGAGAACCTTCTGGGTCTGCACAGGATCCCTACCCTCTTACCTAAGGCAATACAGAGGTTTGCTCTTTATAAGCTGGGTGACCTTGGGCAATTACTTTTACTCTCTGAGCATAGTCATTTATGAAATAAGGACAACAAATCTCTACCTCACTTCTAATGAGAGGATTAAGTGAGATAATGCCCACAGGGTTTACTTAGTTCAGGACTGGATTCATAGTAAGTAGTAGCAGTTTATTTGTTTGATCAATATATTGTAGCTCCATGTGCTGTTTGTTCAAATCCCAGGATGAACACATCCAAAGTAAAGGGAACTGCAGGTTTTTCTGCTTTGGAGCATCTATTTACGTTGTTCATTTTGCCTAGATCAGTGGTCAGCAAACTCATTAGTCAACAGAGCCAAATATCAACAGTACAATGATTGACATTTCTTTTGAGAGCCAAATTTTTTAAACTTAAACTTCTAATGCCACTTCTTCAAAATAGACTCGCCCAGGCTGTGGTATTTTGTGGAAGAGCCACACTCAAGGGGCCAAAGAGCTGCATTAGGCTCGCGAGTCATAGTTTGCCGACCACGGACCTAGAATGTAATAAGCCTACCCAGGTCTGACCTGGTTTCATGATGTCTAGAAAATTTTCAGGTCTATTATTTGTGGTTAACAAACCCTGCCCAGTTGCCCTCAATACCTAAAATCTCGTGCTCTTTAATGAGAAGGATATTTTCCTAAAGTAGTGGTTTTCTTTTGTGAAAGTGTGGACCAAGGATTGTCCCTTCAAGATGGATGTACCTGAATCTCCCTGAGGGGCCTACTAGTAAATGGAACCTCCATCTTCTATTGTTTCCCTTGTATTTCAGATGCCTTGTTTCTTTTAATCTCATAATGATGCTATGAGATAGACAGTATTCTCATTTTACAGATAGAAAATGTTGTTAGAGAGGCTAAGAACCACCGCATGGTAAAGGATGGGGCCAGGTGCTGGACCTAGGTCTGGCTGATCCTAAGTCTTGTGTGCCTTAGCTTTCTGCTCCTTTGCCTTGATTGTGGCCTACAGCCACATGACATCTCTACCACCTCCACTCCATTGTCTCATTTTCTCTCTTTTGTGACAGTTTTTAATAGACCACCTATTCCAGTAATTATTTCCCATATACCATCTACTATTTATCAAGTCTCCAAGGAGGGGACACAAAGGGCATCAGGTTGGAATCTCAGCTACTCCTAATCAATTACTAACAAGACTGTAAGGTCCTTGCAGGAGCAGCTTTTAGAGAAGCTGGCACAGACTGGCATGTGTAAAGGATCTAATTCAGTGCAAGAGCTTTGAAGTTTCCACCAATAAAGAAATGTGATTTCTCAGGGATCTGCAGAAAGCTGATCCTTGTTCTGAATTTCCCTGACTTACATTCAGTTAAGCAGTTGCTCTGGCTGCCTAAAATCTCATGCTCTTTAATGAGAAGGATATTTTAAGGACTGTAGTTGTTCCCTTTTGTGAATGTGCCTTGGGACAAGGTGTGTCCCTACCCGGAAGAACTCCTTAGTAGATCCTGCTTCCAGTGTCCCGTACGCGATTTCTGTCTGCTTCGCTAGGTCCTCTGCACTCTCGATGGGCGACACCATCCTCTCCACGGTCAAGAAGGCAGCCAGGTTGGCTGTGTATGAGGAGATGATGATCAAAGTGAAGAACCACCAGACACCACCAACGATACGGCCGGACAGGGACCTGAAGGCCAAAGGGAGGAGGTGTCAGAAGCACAGACATCAATTACAGAGGCTATGTGAAGGGGCTGAGGGCCAGCCTGATCCCCTTCAGCAGAGTTGTCAAGCCCTATTACTCCCTTCTCCTTGGTCAGCAAGATGTGAGACTTAAAATGTCAGAGAGATCTCTTCTGCATTTTGTTCCTGATCACAAATAAAGACCTGTGGGGTTGCTGTCCTTCAGGGATGATAAAGCCCCTCAGGTATATATTCACACTCATTTTCACACGTACATATATGTCAAGACAGATGCCAGCAAAGACACAGATATATCAACACTTGCCCCAAAATCACAAATAACATGCAAGACTTCTGTTAAATGTGGTGACATACTATTATACACCAAATGTTTGTGAATACATATATGAATATAAATGTATTTGTACACAGGATGCGCATATTTGATTATGTCCAGAAATATTTTCAGACTGCTTTTTTATTATTGGCTGGCAAAGGTCGCCAAAATGATGGACTAGAACAGTGGTTCTCAAACTTTCTAATGCCTCAACCCTTTAATACAGTAACCCATAGGTTGAGAACTGCTAGCAGGGTCACCTATGACCATCAGAAAACACAGATATTTACATTATGATTCATTATAGTAGCAAAAATACAGTTATGAAGTAGCAATGAAAATAATTTTATGGATGGGGGTCACCAGAACATGAGGAACTGTATTAAAGGGTCGTGGCATTAGAAAGGTTGAGAACCACTGGACTAGAAGAAGGGAAGGGAGGACATCTTGGAAATAAATAAGAACAACAGTACTCCAGCTACTTTGGAGAATGTCACTATTGAGTGGAGGCACATTTCCTCCCACTATTATAGAGAAAGAATTTGGCCAAAATAAAAGACAAAGGATATTTTGTTCTGGATCAAATAGTCAAAATGACAATTATACATAAGGTGTGAAGTTTATCCTTAATCTGTTTGGAATCTAGTTCTCTCTTAATGCCTATGAGCTCCAAGAGAGTAACAGAATCTTTTAGTTCTTTTGTGCAGTGCTATACCTCTATCACAGAGCACACACAGTAGGCCTCAATAACAAGTGAATGCATAAATGCTGCTGCCCCTCTCCTAACCTGGCAGCTCTATTCTCACTGGATTCTAGAGATCAGGAATAGTTTTCAGGGCCAGGAGAACCCAAACCTGCTTAGGATCCAGCAGGTCTGGAGTCATGGCCTTGAACCAAGTCTTTAGGAGGCTACCTCCTCTTCCAACATTACTGAACTGAGCGACCCAGCTGAGGTGTCCTAAGTGGGGGATTATCTAGTGAAGTTCAAAGGCTTCCCAAGAAAGTTCCAAGCCTATGGCTCCTCCTTCCTTGTTCTCCTTTAATTAATAGGCATCTTCTAGACGGTGAGACAACTTACCCTTTATGGTATTCCTCACATCCCCACTTACCTAATTAAGAGACCAAAGAAAGAGTCTTTTGCTGAACAGCCAGCAAGTGCCATCCACAGAATACTTGGAGAGCTGGGGTAGAACTCTTCCAACTGGGATGATTTCAGTGCTTTGTTTGCATCTGATTCACAAGATGAGAACTTGAATAATTGACAACCCCCTACTCTCAGATCAGATCTGCTACAGGCAAAGCTGGGCCTCCATTCAACAACTCTGCATTTTCCCAGCTCCACACCAGAGGCAGGGGTGTGGCGTTATTAGAGGCAAGTTCTGGGAATGAGAACCTTTGCTTTTTCACTAAGAAGTCACATTACCTTGGCTGGTTGCCTGCCTCAACTAGGTCTCAGTCTTCTTCCTCTGTATAACCGGTGAGTCTAACCCTACTTCCTGTGAGAAATCTAAACTTTCAGAATTATAAGGGCTCTTAATCCATTTTTTTCCTTTTACTGACACAAGTTATTGGAATTAAAGTGGTAGAGGGGAAAGCACTGTGAAAAGTGCTATTGAAATACAATACGTTATTTTTATGATGATTATTCTCCCAGGGAAGCACAGGGCAAAACAGTACTTTTCTTAGTAGGGAAAGGACATCTGTGATCTGAATGCCTTGGAAGTCTGCCTAGTCACCTGAATGTTATTAGTCTCATAACTAGGCATAGCTATTCCCAAAACTCCCCAGGTAATTGAGGAATCCCTTATGTTTCTCCAGAATTGGCCACAATATAGATGGTTGTTGAACCCATTACTTGAATTTCAAGTGTAGCCTTGCATATGGGAAAGGGATGAATAGCTTCATCTTGCAACTGAAAAAATAGCAGTGAAGAGATGTAAAACAGCTTTCCCAGGGTCACAAGTGAGGCAGTGGCAGAGTAGGGAGTAGGAACCAGGACTTAATGTTTCCTGTCTCACACTGTGTCTGCTACAGAACATTCCCTTTCTTAGCAAGTTATGATTTATTCATGGATGGCATAGACTTCTTCATCTCATGCCACTTCAGTGATGTTGCTTCACAGCCAACACTAACTTCTTGCAAAGCTCAGTGGAACCTTTGGGAACCATAGAAAGCAGTCTCACCACCAACATCACCACAGACTTAGAAACCTATTTGTATTTGTTTTTACTACTGCATAACAAATCACCACAAATGTAGAGGCTCCCAACAACACTTATTTATTATCTCATAGTTCTACAGGTCAGAGGTCTGGGTTAGGGTGTCTAGATTCTCTGCTCAGGGTCTCACCAGGCTGAAATCAAAGTGATGTCTTGGAGTCCTTTTGCAAGTTCACTGGTTGTTTGCAGAATTCATCCTCTTGTGCTTGTGGGATTAAGATCATAGTTTCCTTGCTGGCTGCTAGCCAGCAGCTGCTTTCAGCTTCTAGAAGCTGTCTGCATTCCTCATTACATGCCTCCTGCATCTTCAAGCCAGCAAGTGTGGTAAATCCCTCTTGTTTTTTGAATCTCTCTGAATTCCAGTAGCTGGAGAGAACTCTGCTTTTAGAGAGCTCATCTCATTGGTTCAGGACCACCTGGATAATCTCTGTTAATCTTAAAGGCAACTGACTTGCGACTCCACGTCTGTAAAATATTTTCACAGCAGTACCTAGCTTAGTATTTGAATATCCAAGAGACAGAATCTTTAGAAATCTGTGTACCATACTTTTTATTCACTCATTTTATAAGCATTTCTTGTACTGCAGGCATTATTGGGCATTTGGGAGATAAAAGTGATACAGCAAAGACTCTCCCTTCCATGGAAAAAATGGGCAGTGTAACCTAGTGATTAAAACATAGGCTTTGGGGTCACATACCCCAATTATTTGTAAAGTGCTTAGCACAGTGTTTGGTGCATAGTAAGCACCCAGTAAAGCAATCATCACTACCTTATAAAAATATCTTCAATGGTAATTATAGTCCTACTAGAGGCTCAGAGCATGAAAATTTATGCACTGGAGGTGGGGGTCCCTCAGCCCGGCCTGCACCCTCTCACAGTTTGGGAGCCTTCAGGGATGGAAGGTGACTCAGTGATCAGGGGAAGGTGCTGCCCCCATCACACCTCTGATGCTGCCATTGCTAGCAGTACAAGCCTTGGCCAGTCCTGGTTACCTGAGCCTTGGGTAGCCCTGGGCAGCTGGGCAGCTGCCACTCAAAGCTTGCCTGTGCCTCAGGCTGGCTCTGGGTGGCTGGGCAGCCATCATCCAAGGCTTGCCTGTGCCTCAGGCCAGCTCTGGGGAGCTGGGGGTTGAGGGGACAGGGGGAAAATGGAAATAGGTGTGTGGAGCAGTCTGGCCTACCCCGGGCCCAGCCTTGTTGCATGCTTGCTACCCCGGTGGGGCTAAAGGGACTGGGTGCTACCATCTTTGAGGGCATGGCAATTAATTAGCATATTCCCTCCTTATGGTTGTGGGCACCACCATCTTTGCAACAGTGTGAAGGTCAATTAGTATATTCCTTTTTATTAGATAGGATCTTAATTATGTGACAGGTAAGAGAGCAGTACTAATGGAACACAGAGAGCTTGCTAATCACTCTGCTGGCAGAGGGCAGGAAAAGTTACCAGAGGAGGAGAAACTTATGCTAGGTTTTGAAGGCTGAGTAGGACATTGCCAAACAGAATAGGTGTAAGGAGAAGGTAGACAGAGGTAAAAAGGAGGAAGTGAGGAAGATATTGTCTTCTCTGTAAACTTCCCACCCTTTGCCAGCAGAGCACTGAGTAACCCCTTCTGTTTTCCTATTACACCATGATAATTCTTTTAAAAATTTAACCACTCTGTTGTAATGATTTAAGATGGTACTATGATTATTCCTTATGGTACTTATTGATTAACAATGATGATGATGATGGATTGAACTAAGGCAAAATCCACAGAAATTGGGAGGGTAGGCTGACTGAAGAGGTGATATCAAGGTGTTTCGGTAATCTATGGGAGCAGGAGCTGGGGGAGATGAGAATGCTCAAATGACAGTTCATGCGTGCCTTCTGGGTGAATTAATTCCAACATAGTCTTGGGACTTACTAATAGATTCTGGCTGCAAGCTGTCTCTTCTTGCAAATGATGTCTTTGTCTTTGTTAATTAGAGGAAATTTGTTAACTACATGCATTTTTATAATAATTTTGATAACCAGATGTTTCATTAAATGCATACTTGATGCTAATAAAAGATATTAGGTCTAGTAATAATTAATGTCGTTTTCTAATACTTTTTAAAATCGAATTTATTTAAACAATACAACAAAATTTAATCAACAATATAGTTGCCGTTGTTTTCTACTACTTGTGCCCAACGCTCAGGAAGCATTTTAATACCTCTGTTGTAAAATTCCTGTGATTTTGATGCAAAAAATTCGGTCAATGCATTTTTGAGGCATTCTTCATTATTAAATTTTTTTCCAAGAAGAAAGTTTTGCAAAGAACGAAACAAATGGTAATCGGAAGGGGCAATATCAGGAGAATATGCAGGTTGAGGGAGAACTTCCCATTCCAACTGGTGCAGTTTTTCAGCAGTGATTCTTGCAGTATGCGGTCGTGCGTTATCGTGGTGAAGAATTACGCCCTTCCGATT